TGCCTGCAAGTTGGGGAATACGACTAATAAAAGTCATGGGGACTGCAGAAACACAGCACACTGTTCAGATTGATTCAGACATTGACTTGTACCGCAAAGAGACCTCTATCTCACTCATGATTTGTCTTCTCAAGTGGGGGAAAGACAATGCACAATGTTACCCCACTGCTGTCAACCTGGGCCAAGTCATATCTCTCTTGTTCCAGAAACCTCAGTACCAAATGAGAGGGTTTTTTTTTCTGTTGCAGGGGACATTGTAAATGCCCAGAGATACCAGCTTTTACCAGATTATAATTATATGATAATTTTCCTTTAAACCCATCTCTATCTAAGTGAGTGAGTGATTAAATGTTGAATGTGGTGAGTTTTCAACACTACTAAATTGAAACTTTATTTTTTTACATGGTTTAATATTTTTTTGTTATTAAAATTGAAGTTAGTGTTTCAAAGCTTACAGATAGATGGCTAATTTGTATGTCATTGACACTTTTGGCACTTTTTTGGAGTATTTTCAAAAGTTTTTTTTTTCCTGTAAATGATTCAATAAATACCGTACCGTGACATTCATACCGAGGTATTACCGTACCGTGAAATTCTGATACCGTTACATCCCTAATATACACACACATATATATATATATATATATATATATATATATATATATATATATATATATATATATATATATATATACATATATATATATATATACATATATATATATATATATATATATACATATATATATATATATATATACATATATATATATATATATACATATATATATATATATATATATACATATATATATATATATATATATATATACATATATATACATACATATATATATATATATGTATATGTTATTGCATTTTAACATGTACTTCTCGAGGTATGGTCACAAGGAATCCTGCTTCAGAAATCACTCCTCTCCCTGAGTCATCTTTCCATCAAGCAAGTTTCGGTTGGTGACATCGCCAACCAGAGGTGGCAGTAATGCACCAAAAAGTTTGCTGTCGAACACTGTAAAACAGGAAGAAGAAGAATTCCTCATTCGAGCCATCATATGAATTTACTATCACCGGCCTCACAGCTCTGTGAATGTCGGTGCCGTCACTTATTGATCCGCGATCTGTAAATGTAGCTTGTGTGGACGCTACTGCGCTACTTCAATAATAAAATAGCTTTGCTACTGAAAAGCTATTTGATTTAGAAAGTAGCGACGCTACCGCCAAGCTACTGAGAAATGTAGTTAAGCTAGTTGCGTCACTACTTGTAGCAACGCTACTGCCCAACATTGATATTCAGAGATGCTCTTTTGCAGACCTCGGTTGTAGAGAGTTCTTATTTATTCATTATTGTCCTCTAAACTCTGGCATCAACAAGGCATTTGCGCCCACAGAACTGTCGCTCACTGGATATTTTCTCTTTTTCAGACCATTCTCTGTAAACCCTAGAGATGGTTGTGCGTGAAAATTCCAGTAGATCAGCAGTTTCTGAAATACTCAGACCAGCCCGTCTGGCACCAACAACCATGCCACATTTAAAGTCGCTTAAATCCCCTTTCTTCCCCATTCTGATGCTCGGTTTGAACTGCAGCAGATCGTCTTGACCATGTCTACATGCCTAAATGCAATCAGTTGCTGCCATGTGACTGGCTGAATAGACATTTGTATTAACAAGCAGTTGGACGGGTGTACCTAATAAAGTGGCCATATACACAAATGTTCACTTTTTTTTTTTGTTATCTAAATATTACAATCTTTCAAGGATTTAAGATACTGATGACCACTAAAGGCGTCACAACAGTCTTGTGAAAAGACTATTAAAGACTTAATAATAAAAAACCAACTTCCCTCATTGTTCCCTCCACCCTCTCTCTCTCTGTATCTGTAGGATGTCCTGGTGAAGGTCATAAGGAATGAAGGATTCTTCAGTCTGTGGAAGGGTTTCACTCCATATTACGCTCGTCTCGGCCCGCACACGGTTCTCACCTTCATCTTCCTGGAGCAGATGAACAAGTTTTACAAGATCTATTTTCTCGACTCATAGATAACAGAGCACAGTACTTCCACATAGTCGCACTTTACAACAAGCTTTCATTAGCTAATGTACTTACTAACATGAACTCATAATGAACAATTAATCATATACTAATGCAATATTCAAAATCTAAATTCATTTCTGTTAGCGTTAGTTAACGAACAATAAGCAGCTTTATTTCAATTAATGTTAACGATGATGAATAAATACTGTAATAAATGTGTTGTTTATTGTTTGTTCATGTTAGTAAATGCATTAACTAACATTTAATACAGTTGCCATTGTAAAGTGTGACCTGTTTCTCCCCCACTTCCTTTCCTAGTATAGTTAAATTGGTTTGTTACAACCAATATATGACCGGACTTTGACCCCTTTGCTGTGGTGGTAACTGAGAAGACTATTCGGACTCTTAAATTACACACACACACTGACACATGCACACACAGGCTGAGCAACTTAATGCTAAACTGAATTTGAATGCAGGCATTGATTGATTGTTTACACCAGTCGAAACCCTGTTTTACTTTTAAATTATATTTATGTGATGACTGTATTTCCCCTCATATAAAGGTCAACATCTGTACTGACCTGTAAACAGACAGATGAGTGAATCATAAAGGATGTTTCTCTTATTTCTTAATTCTTTTGATTCCTACCAGCACACACACACACACACACACACACAGTAGTAGCAAGAACAAATATGATCCGAGTGCAAATCTTGCATTGTTTTATTTTGCCACCATAAAAGACGGCTTTTTAGTGAACAAATGGTCTTGTTTGCGCACAATTAAGTGGAAGATGTGTTTAAATAAAAAATGGGGTGTGTGTATAGGCTGATACACATTAGTTTGTTGTGTTATGTTAGGAACTCAATGAAAGGAATTGAGACGAGAGTGAAAATGCTGTATTTAGAGTTTGAAGATCTTTTTCTTCATAGTATGTGAGGCATTGCATTTTTATTTTTAATTAATTAAAGAGCAGTATTAAACGAAGAGCCCAACTTAAAAAGTCCTGCTATTGTGACTTTTATTATGTAAAGAAACCATTTAAGAAGATTGTCCATTGTGTTGTTTTTTTATTTGCTTGTTTTGTAGAAATGACTATTATACAGTTATATAATAGTTATTATTATGCAATATTAATACAGATAGCTCATTTAGGGGAACTGTTTTAAATTAGGAAGGTAAAACAATATATTAGGACACTTAATGTATCTGTGAGGTTTTAAAAGGTCTTGAGACATTTTAAATCTCAAATTTAAGGCTTTAAAAAGTCGTAAATCTACTGGAATGTTGTGTTTTAGGCCTTAAATATTTCTTAATTTTACTTTGTTCATGTATTGCTGCCCAATCTGGCCATTAATACTCATATAATCACCAACAATCACATTCTCGATTAAAAAAAAAAAAAAAAAAGCATTTAATTACTTTTCTTACAGCAACATTTGTTTAAAAGTTCTCCATTTATTTACTGCTGAGGATACTAACCTGACCTATATATTTTTTATCATTAAATTATTATTATTATATATTATTGTATTATTAAATGTATTAAATTTTAATCATTTTTTTGATTGGACAAGTTAATTTTTTTTAAATGCTTAGCGTTTAGCCCTGTAGAAGTCTAAAATTTCACTCAATTTAACTTTTAAAATTGCCATTCAATTTTAATTAATATTATATTATGATTAAATGTCAGTATACAACATAAACTTGAATTTTTAAAACTTATAAAATTTTATAAAATTTTATTTATTAATATTATATTATGATTAAATGTCATTGTACAACATAAATCTTTTAAAATTGTTATTAAATTGCAATTAATATTACATTATGATTAAATGTCAGTGTACAACAGGCTTAAATGTTTAAAACTGTTGTTAAAATTAAATTATTCTACTTTCTGAATAAATGTCAATGTACAACATGAACTTTAAAAACTATTATTAAACTGAAATGATAATAATTATATTATAAATAAATGTCATTGTGCAATATAAACTCAAAACTGTTATTAAATTTAAATTATTATATTATGATTACATGTCAGTGTACAACAAACTTAAATGTATAAAACGGTTATTAAATTTAAATTATTATTATATTATGGTTAAATGTCATTGAACAACATAAACTTGAACTTTCAAAACCATTATTCATTAATTCTTTCATTTTCTTTTCGGCTTAGTCTCTTTATTAGGGGTCAGGGGTCGCCACAGCGGAATGAACCGCCAACTTATCCAGCATATGTTTTACGCAGTGGATGCCCTTCCGGCTGCAACCCATCACTGGGAAACATCCATACACACTCATTCACACACATACACTACAGACAATTTAGCTTGGCCAATTCACCTATAGCACGTTTAAGTTTTTTTTTTGTTTTGGTGTTTTTTTTTTTTTGGACTTGTGGGAGAAGCCGGAGCACCCAGAGGAAACCCACACCAACTCAGGGAGCACATGCAAACACCACACAGAAAGGCACCACACAGAAATGGTTGTGGCCAGAAGGGCATCCGCTGCATAAAAACTTGCTGGATAAGTTGGCGGTTCATTCCGACTTTGGTGACCCTGGATTAATAAAGGGACTAAGCCGACAAGAAAATGCATTAATTAATCAAAGGTCTTAAAATAAAAATATAATCTATATAGCAAATAATTGGTAAGCACTACACTAAAAATGGCGTTTTCTGTTTGTTCAAACTACTTATTTAAAATGAGCTGAATCAACACAATTCTTGAATTTTTGGGGGAGAACTTTTTTTATGTTCAATCCACTTAACTTTGTATGTTTTACGGTGTACTTTATTGATAATTCTTTATATTTATTAATAAAAAACGCAGCTAAATCGAGCGTCTTAAAGACGTCACGCTGATGTCCTATGGTTGGACGACATTACCCAGAATGCAATTTCAAGAACACGCCGCAAACGCTTCCGGTTGGAATCATATCGTCCAAAGATGGCGGACCTTCTGGGCTCGATCTTGAGCTCGATGGAAAAACCTCCAACCGTTCACGATCAAGAAAGCCGACGGAAAGCTAGAGGTATAAAGTTTTAATCCTACGAACACAACGTCTTCTTTGCGTAGAAGACGAAACCGAGCATGCTCGTAGATATCCAAGTGAAACTTGATACATACCCGAGTGTCCTCTACGACGTTAAACAATGTAATAAATAAGAGCCAATCAGCGCCTGGGAAATAATGTATGCACGTACTTGCGTCATTTGACGTTGAAAGTCCTCTAGATGTCATAGTTGGTTTGTTTATATATATTTCTTCGTGTTAAATGCATTAAATTGACAAATAAAATGTTAATTTAATTAATGTTAAACACACACACACAATTTTATGTAAAATGTCAAATTTAGGAGAAACGAGGAATCTAAAAGATGGCAGCCAACGTTATATAATATTGTAGTAACTTACTGTAGTGTTCTTGAACCAAAAGTATTAAGTATTGTGTGGTAATTCTGTATTTGGCATGCTAACACAACAATTATAGCAAAAAAAAATGTAGTATAGTAAACCCAAAGTGCTGTAGTCTTCTTCAGCTATAGGGTATATTACTCTACATTACACCACAGCTTTACTGTTGTAAAAACCAAAGTGTACTACAGTATTTATTACAGCTTATCAGTTCACTATAGATAATACTGCAGTATGCTTTAACACTATTATTATGTAAACATTATAATATACACTCACTGGTCACTTTATACCTTACTAGTTCCGGGTTAGATCCACTTTTGCCTTCAGAACTGCCTTAATCCGTCAGGATTTAACAAGCTACTGGAAATATTCCTCAGAGATTTTGCTCCATATTGACATGATAGCATCACGCAGTTGCTGCAGATTTGTTGGCTGCACATCTATGATGTGTATCTCCCGTTTCACCACATCCCAAAAGTGCTCTATTGGATTGAGATATGGTGACTGTGGAGGCCATTTGAGTGCAGTGAACTCATTGTCATGTTCAAGAAACCAGCCTGAGATGATTCACACTTTATGACATGGTATGTTAACCTTTTTTTGCTTGTGCAGAACAAGCAGCCAGACTGAAGAAGCTTGAGGAAGATGAGAGGAGGAAGAAAGCAGAGTTCAGGAAGAAGGTACAACTCACTCTCATTTTGTCTGTCTCGCAAGCCTTTGGCATGTTTCATTTTTGTTCATGAATATGGTTTTGTTTAGATGGAGAAGGAAGTGTCAGATTTCATTAAGGACAGCACACTGCAGAAGAAAAAATATAACCCAATGGGCAAGATCGAGAGAAGCATTTTGTAAGTGTTATTTTAGTATCATTGATTCATTTTCTTTTCGGCTTAGTCCCTTTATTAATCTGGGGTCGCCACAATGGAATGCCAACTTATCCAGCATGTTTTAAACAGCGGATGCCCTTCCATCTGCAACCCATCACTGGGAAACACCCATTAACATTCATTCACACATATACACTACAGACAATTTAGCTTACCCAATTCACCTGTACTGCATGTGTTTGGACTGTGGGAGAAACCGGAGCACCCGGAGGAAAACCCACACGAATATTTTAGTATCACTTTAATATGGTATATGCCGAGCTAGTGCTGTTCCCATGCTGATACACTTCCGGTGACCTGTTAATGTGAACTTGTTTTTGTGTTATTTCAAGCAAATTCGTACTTCCTGTTTGAAACGAATTTTTGAAGCTGCGTCACGGTCATGACATAATAGCGTGTATTCCAGCGTGCAGACTGGACGTCTGTGCCTGAGTGAGTCTTATTACGTCTTACAGTGTGATGCATTAATGCATGAGTAAGACTTGGTTCAAACCAATCAGCGCGCTCTATTCTGCAACTTCATTAATATTCATTAGTGTCACTGTTTACACCAGAGACGCCACGTTGTGTTGGCAAAACAAGCGTGAAGTGTTGCTTTTATAGTTTGCTGCCATTAAGTTTCGTTTTCATTTTCTCTCTGTGAGAGCTCAGACTCACGTGTGGATTAACAGTGTACGCGACGCTCGACAACAATAACTTACGTGTCTAAGGAGGATTATTGTTTACCTGAGAGCTGTTCTCATCTGCAAACGCTGAAATCCGGATTTGCTTGTAGTCTCCTCTTCATAAAGACGCGGCTCTAGTTACTGGTGATTGTCCTGTCTCTACAGATTTGGTAAGTGAGCGACCAGTGCTCTTTGTTTATTCAGTTTGTTCGTATCGAATTAAGTTAACTATTGCACTGAGTGCAAACTTGTTAGCACCGCATTTTGTGACCGGAATAACACACGCGGCTTTCTGACGCTACCTGCCAAGTGCATCTAAGTTTCCGGGAATTGCGGAGCTTTTTTTTCTCTCATTCGCCGTGCGGTATCAAACATTGCATGAAAAATACACGCTTAGAGCAGCTCCTCGAATCAAATATCGCGTTTGTCGCGAGGGACATGAATGAATTCCCTGAATGAAAGAGCCAAACTGCAGTTAAAGTCCAACATTTAATAATCTGGCAAATAATTCAACTACAGATGTCCATGTAGGTTAAACACAATGACTGTAAAAAATACACCATCACTTTCTCGTGTGAGTATTTTGACTGAAACTCGCGCGTGCCCAAATAGACACTCCCACACCATCCCACTTTAGTTCCTCCGACAATCCCCCCTAAACAGAGCTGGACACGCCCGCTTTTCTGACTTTTTCCGAAGTAGAGGTGTGAAAACACCCTGCTGAAACGAGGGGGTTTCATGGCCCTTTAATTTTGAGTGTAATTTTAGTTTTGAAATCTTGCTTAATATTAAATGAAAATGTAAAAACTATTCAGGTAGTTTCAAAGGAAACATTTTTATGCTGGCGGTTTCAAAAGGTGTTAGGGTTTTAGTCGATTCCAGTAGCTTTGTTTCAACTTCCTGTACTGATATGAACCAGGGTCTGATTAAAAGTTTATGTTAATGGACGTTAATTCAATGTTGAATGTATTTTAAATACATGCTGCCATAAATATACACACCATGTATTTGTTTTTCCTGTTCATGTAATTATGTTTAGGTCATACATATCTGTGACGTTGACTTTTGTATTGTACAGTGTAAGGATAAAGTAATATGTTACATTCTTAAGCCTATTTTAATCTTAAAACACAAAAATAACAACACGCATATGTACATTACTAATCCACTACACCAGGGGTCACCAATCTCGGTCCTGGTTTAGCTCCAACTTGCCTCAACACACCTGCCTGGATTTTTCAAGTATACCAAGTAAGACCTTATTAGCTTGTTCAGGTGTGTTTGATTACGGTTGGACACCTCCTGGACACCGGCCCTCCAGGAACAAGTTTGGTGACCACTGCACTACACTAATGTATTCTACTTAGGACATACTCACACTATGCTATTCAATCCGTGCCCAGGCTCGTTTCCTGGATTGTTTGAGAAGTGCGAGTGCTTTGAATCGGGCTCAGGTGTGGATCAGTTGGCCGGCCCTGACCTGATTGGAAGAGGTGTGCCTGAGCTTGGTTCACTTGGGCTCAGGTGCGATACGCTTGTAGTGTGAGTGCAAAGTGTGCCTGAGCCCGAAACGAGACGTGACTTTTAAGGCACTGTTTTATATGGATTTATTAATCACTCTGAATGTTCAATGAACGCAAACTGTTGTAGATTATTAAAGACACAAACCCCTCACTGCACGACAGCTGCACCTTCAGCAGACCTCCTAATTCCTGCAGCACTTTATGATTGTTTATGAGCGTCAAAAGTGACTGATCTGTCGGCGAAATATTTGACTGTGTGTCAAACAACTAAAATAATATAACTAAAGTAACCTCCATTGTGCTGATTGAGAGCGCTTACTGAACAGCGCATCATCGATGATGTAAGCGTGCCCTGGCACGAATGTAATGTGAGTGCTGGCAGTCGGAGGAGACGGGAGGGGGGACTAGCGTGCTTCTGCCTGGTTCAAGGCAACTGTACATAGTGTGAGTACGCCCTTACTGTATGTATATTTATTTATTCACTTTTTTTTTTTAGATTAAGGCCTTGATATTGTAATATATTACTTTTTTTTTTTTACCCAGCACTGGTCCTGTTTCACTTTTTAAGTGTCCAGTTGCTTTTAAATATACTAGTCACAGTTGTTTTTCGTTAGACTGAATATGTTTACTACTGGTTGAAACATTAGCAGAAGTTTTCAGTTCATGCCATTTGTCTTCTCTGCCCTTAGGCATGATGTAGCTGAGGTGGCTGGACTGACATCGTTTTCCTTTGGCGAGGATGAAGAAAGTAGATATGTTATGCTGTTTAAAAAGGTATGTATTGGATCTTTAAATCTACAAATAAATGCATCAGTATTTTTTCTTGAATTATTCTGAGCTCAGCTTTAAAGAGCAGATGGCGCTGTATACATTGCTAACAGTTACAATTCCTTACAAATATCACTTTAACCTGGAATAATCATTAATGAAGCTAGGAAAGGTTTAAGCAAAATACATGATTCACCCGCCGTCTGCTGTTAAAAACTAGCCTAGAGCACCGGCTGCTGTTAAAAACCAGACCAGAGCACCATTTGCTGCTAAAAACTAGCCTAAAGCGCCGTTACAATCTAGCCTAGAGTGCTATCTGGTGTTAAACCTATCCTAGAGTGCTGTTTGCTTTTAAAATCTTGCCTAGAGCACAGTCAGCTGCTAAAAACTAGCCTAGAGCACCGAAACTGCTAGAAACTAGCCTAGAGCACAGTTAAAAACTAACCTAGAGGACTGCTGCTGCTAAAAACTAGCCTAGAGCACTGTTTAAATCTAACCTAGAGCAGCACTGCTGCTAAAACCTATCCTAGAGTGCTGTTTGCTTCTAAAATCTTGCCTAGAGCGCCGTCTGCTGTTAAAAACTAGCCTAGAGCACCATTAAAAAATAACCTAGAGCACCACTGCTGCTAAAACCTATCCTAGAGTGCTGTTTGCTTCTAAAATCTTGCCTAGAGTGCCATCTGCTACTAAAAACTAGCCTAGAGCACTGTTAAAAACTAACCTAGAGCACCGCTGCAGCTAAAATCTAGCCTTGAGCACCGTTAAAAACTAACCTAGAGCACCACTGCTGCTTAAACTAGCCTAAAGCACCATTAAAAACTAACCTAGAGCACCACTGCTGATAAAAATTAGCCTAGAGCACCGCTGCTGCTAAAATCTAGCCTTGAGCACCGT